GCGGGCAAGCAAACAGCAGATCCAATATAACAGATTTTATAAATTCTTTTGGTTCATGACATTCTCAGGCAAGATGGGAGCACATTCCAGTGCTTCATTTCATCCCTCATCCTCAAAATTGTATTTTCTTTTCCTGCACCATGGTCAGTGGTCAAGTGTCGCATTTGCATGTTAGCACTCGGCGATACCAAAAAATATGTGTGCAATAATTTCTAGCCTCTTCCAAAAATACCGTGAAAACCGAGACCAGTTGGTGTGAGTATTCCAAGTTTGTGATGTTACTGTGTGACAATACAAATTTAATTTTCAACTAAAAATGCTCGAATTTTGTTTCAAACGGCCCAGCACGTAGAACCGCCGCTCAAGCTGTATGCGGATTTTACGCAGATGAGCATTCGTTACAACACTTCGCAGCAGTTTCTCATTTTCTCCGAGGAGGGGACCAAAATTCGAAAGACTAACAATATTTTAAAAAACAACACATATAATAGGGATACAAATGGTTTTATTTATTTTCTTCAGAAATGAAAACAAACCTGAATGGGAAGATGTAAGCGAAAAAAATTAGGAAAAGTAATGTACAGTTCACAGTCACTTTGAATTTCTCGTATTCTTGCTTGTAACGATAACGATCATTTTTGTTCATCAACGATACATTGAGATTACTGCCAAGAATTATCGATAAATACAATCTGAAAATCATGGAACTTTATCTTTCTTGGCTGAGCTTTTTAGGTTTTAAGCAAAAATACTAAAAAGTAGCGAAAGTCGAATTCGAAGCGCACGGTAACTGCGTAGAAATTTTTATCATTTTGAGTTCAGTTAATTCAAAATTTAACTAATATTTATGACCAACAGACAATGGAGAAGGTGGAGAGGGACGGTTAGAAAGAAGTGTTGTTTTTTTAAAAATAATTACTAAAAATGGTACCTCAAAAAACTCGGATCCAGCTGGAAATTTAACTACTAATAGTAATATTAGGAATATCAGAAATAACCGAATATTCGGCGAGAGGATCGAATTTTAGCAGTAGGAAAAAACAACAATCTATCTTATGTTTCCTGAAAAAAAGCCTCTTCCCAAAGCACCAGTACCACAAACCAGCCCTTCTTAAGTACCACACTTTAATAATTCCTTAAGTTTTTCGAAATTTAGATAACTTACCCGTTATCTTGTACTGGTAGCTCGCCTTTCATA